AAGACTGGCGGGTGATTTGGGGATGGAACAGCGATCTCCGAATCCAACTGGAGCCACAGTTGGGCCTTTCTCCCCACCAAGCCCGCTCCTCGCAGAGCCACACAAATCCCACCTTTGTTAATAATAATAATCCTTGCATTTATCTGAACCACAAACAATCGTGGATTGAGTGAGCAATTATTTTTTGAAGGATCATTACCTCCGGAAAGCGATCCGCCAATCAACAACCGGGTTCCTACTTACTGATAGGTAAATAGAAGTGTGTGGAGTAAGAAAACTTGCCTAAACTTGCCCAAACTTGCTGGGATCTCTCGCTTGCGAAGCGAGTGCGGAAACCACTATGCTACAGGACTCCATGAGATTTGATATAGCATTTGATCTTTTCTAGGCTTTTCAACCTATTGCACTGCAGTCTATCTCAGAGCCTATGTCAGTTGTCATCTGGATGGAGTCCATTTTACGCCGTCCTTTTAATTAACATAATGTATTTACAGTATAAAGCAGCTGTCACGTGAATTTACGACTGTTGAATTAAAACATTTTAAATTGATTAAACACGGTGAATGGTGACTCCCAGTCTTGCTAAAAATTCCGTATCGGTTCCGTGTTTTTGTTTAAAAGAGAATGTTCCCGACATTGGGAGGGACGACTCAATCATGCTTCTTCAGGTTAAGCCAGTGTTTGGTGAAGCAGCAATGAAATAGCTGATGTGCGATGGATTTGGTCCGAGCAATTATAAAAATAATAATAATGATGATATTGTTGAAGTATTGTTGGTCTTCTCTCAGATCTTCTCAAGAATGAAGAGCCCTTGCATGTTTAATCGTTGCTCATAACTCGTTCTTCTTAACCCTGGGGATCATACTTATTGCTCTCCTCTGCAATACCAAATCTAGGGCTTAGATCTTGTGGGGTTGTGGTTAGTAAGCCTGCCTCGCAAGCAAAAGGACCTAGGTTCGATTCCGGGACTCGGTGAAACCTTTGGCAAGTTTCCCTACTCCACACGCCTCTGTTTAGCGAGCAGTGAGTTGGAACCCAGTTGTTAGTCGATTGGCGGTAATAATCCCTCAAAAGAAAATTGGGTCACTCAATCCATGGCTGGGACACTGCTGTGTGCAATTGGTTGCCTCGTTTGGCCCACAAAACATACAGTCAATTCACTTTACTAAATATTCTGTGAAGCGCTTTGAATCATAATGTGATAAGGTGATATATCAAATGCAAGGATTATTATTATTATCACAACCTTCTTATGTCATGGCGACCAGAACTACATACAGTACTTTCGGTGCGGCTGACGAGAGTACTTAGGAGCTTGATCGATTGTTGGCCAGGACACCACAAGAAATTCCCTTCTCTTTTCAAATAGTACCTTGGGAGCTTTAACATCCAATTGAACAGGCTCAAACAGGAAGGATGAGATCAATTAGGCCAATGGACTTTTATCATCCATACTGATCTTGTGAGATAAATCGGGCATTCCCTTCATGCCTGTTCATAGTCCTTGGGTTACATAAATTGACTGCTACAATTCCTTGTGAAGAGCACTGAGACATTTCAATTTTGTAGGCTCTATATCAAATGTAAGGATTATTATTATTAAATGAGTCCAGAATCATGTCCTCAGCCACCCTTCATAGTAATTCATTCTGTCGTTAATTACCTTCTGTGTAATTCATAACCTGGACCTGCTCTTGTTCTGCTGCCTTGGCGTATCTGAAATTAAAATCAACAGTATTTCCCCCCCCACCCCCAACCACCCACCAATATCTGGGAGAGTTTGAAACCAATACCACAAGCAATCAAATGATGCTTGTAAGTGAAACCTCTAGCAGCCTGGTGCATGTTGTAAACTGAGCCTCTCGGCAGATTAAAGCACTAGCATGGTGCCTGATGCTCTTACCATTTCTTTGCTCACTGTGCCCGCTGGATATTTACAAGGCACGTCAATAAATGTGAAAAAGAATGTTTCCTGTTGTGTAGAAACATTGTTTTTTCAGTTCTGAACTTTCTGTTTGTGTTCGTGTCCATTAACTTTCCCTCTTTTGTCCGTTGTCTTGTTTTTTTGTAAACTTGCAAAAGTTTTGGCACATCACTGCTCACTGGGCACAAGTTCTTGCTGTATCCATCTAGGCCCAATGCAATGTGGGTTTGCTTGAGTGAAAAACATGTTGCTAGTAGGTTTTGGCTTCTGTTATACAGTAATGATTTGGCCCAACCTCAGGGCTTGTTCAGAGAATATAAAGTGACAGGCTTTCTAAGAATTGTTTGCGGTTAATTGAGATCCTCTGTGTAACTATTAAATAACCCTCAAATAATCCACTTCCTTTAAATGTGCTTCTTACACAGACCCTCAAAGCAGGATGGCCCTTGAGGCACTTGCTCACAGAGTCGCTGTGTCATGGTCTCTCCCAGGGGAGTTTCCTGTCTGTGTTGAGCCTGTCTGTGATAGCCCTGAGCAGATGAACATTGCGAGCCAAGCAGGCAATTAAAGCGTCATTCCCTTGGCACACAACAGCAGTGACAGCTTGCACTTACATACGACCTTCACATAGGGTAACATCTCAAAGTGCTTGAAATCTATCCACTCGGGAACAAGGGGGCAAGTGGCAAAGAATGGAAGTGATGAACAAGCAGAGTTCAGTATGGGAGATGATGTGAGTTGCCGAGCTCTGCAGTTTTACATTTTTCATTGAATTTTATGATGTGAAAATTCCACTTGGTTTATTCCCAGCAAAGGTCCAGAAGTGCCATTCAGAGAATAAACCAACTTGTTCAAGGTATGAAGTCAAACCCAGATTCAATAAATACAAATGTAGTGTAGTTCTCTAACGTATTGGTTAGAGCACTCGACTCGCAAGCAAGAGGACCCAGGTCGATTCCCGAGCAGGGCAAAACCTCAAGCATTTTTCCTTACTCCACACGCCTCTGTTTACCTAACAGTAACTAGGAACCCAATTGTTAGTCGATTGGCGGATTGCTTTTCCAGGGGTGATAATCCCTTAAAAAATTATAATAATAATTTGGTCACTCAGTCCACGACTGTTTGAGGGACACTACCTGTGCTGTGTGTTTTGCCCACAAAATATGCAGTATATTCTGTAAAGCACTTTGAGATGTCTCAATGATGTGATAAGGCTCTATATTCAAATGCAAGGATTATTATATATTATATTCTCATACAAATTGATATGGCCTTAGCCTTAAAATTTTAATGTCATATTTCTTGCTGTCATATTTCTATCATTTCTATGCATCTATCGAAGAAAATATCATAAAAACATACAAGCATGAGAGAGAGAGAGACAGGGGAATATTTTTGGTTCAAGTTGAGAAATAAAATAAAAGTTGAATCCCTCATGTTATTACACCAATATAATAATAATAGAGCAACACATCTCGTAACAAACATTAATTTCATGCTGAAGCAGAGGAATTGTAGACTTGAGAGATAGTCTTGAACTCACAACCTGGGCTAACAACCAGTGCAGTGCCAGGGAAATTTGTGGGACACTGCTCATCTGCCTGTTTGGAGGGTATTAATGATCTCATGGCACAATTTGAGAAGAGAAGGAAGTTTCTCTCAGTGTCCAGGGCAACATTCTTCCAAATAAAATTGATCGTTCACTTAATGGTTGTTTGTGGGGCATTGCCATGTGCAAATTGACTGACGGGTTTGCAGACAAACACACAATCACTACACTTGAGGTGGAAAAAAAGCAAATGACCAATTTTACTTGGGAATTTATTGGCCAGGACACTGGGAGGGATTCCCTTCACTTTTCAAATAGTGCTCAGGATCTTTGACATCCAAGTGAACAAAAGGCAGACAGAGCCTTGGTTTAACATCTGATCCAAAGGGTGACACCTGCAACAATGTAGCCCTCCCTGTTTGGTTTGGATATTAAGTATGGTGATGGATTTCCACGTGTATCAGAGCCCTGGCCGACCAAAACCAAGTACTATACATTCTGTGGGTGAAATGCGGCAGCCAGTTGCGCACAACAGTGTCCCACAACCGCGGACTGAGTGACCAAATTATTATTGGTTCACAGGATATTCCTGTGAAGTAGAGGGACCGTGTATTTGTGGGCTGTTTTGAGAGAACTCGACGACGACGACGGCGACGACCTGATAAGGCACTGTGTGAGATATCGGGGTTATTATTTGTTTATTAAAAGAAGAAAAAGAAAACATAATAATAATGATGATAATAATTTGGCCGTGCGTGCGGGTGCGGGGACGCTGATGCGTGCAATCGGTTGACCCGTTTCGCCCACAAAATATGCAGTCAATTCACTTTACAGTATATTCTGCGAAGGGCTTTGAGACGTCTGGAGGGTGTGATAAGGAGTTATATCAAATGCAATGATTATTATTATGATGATGATGATGATGATGATGATGAGATGATAATGATAATGATGATCAGCCCCTGAGTGACGTCTCGGATGAAGCCCCGCCCCCTGTTGTGACGTAAGGGGCGGGTAAGGGGCGCGGCAGCCAATGGGAAGCCTCGGTGCTGGGAGGCGCCGGGGGCTGGTGTTTGAGTGAAACCGTTTGGCTGCCGCCCCGACCTTCCCTCTCACCCGCCCCCACCCCCACCACCTCCCTGTCTACCCCTCACCCCCACCGCCTGCACCTCCCTGTCTACCCCCCCACCCCCTCCCATCAAACTCACCCCCAGCTCCACACTCAGCCCCCAAACACACACACACCACCGCAAGCCCCAGCTCCGCGCTCAGCCCACTCTCCTCCCCCACCCCAGCTCCGCGCTCAGCCCCACACTCAGCTCCGCGCTCAGCCCACTCTTCCCCCCCACCCTCCAGCTCCGAGCTCAGCCCACACTCCCGCCCCCCCAGCTCCGCGCTCAGCCCCACACTCAGCTCCGCGCTCAGCCCACTCTCCCCCCCCCCCCCCCGCCCCCCAGCTCCGAGCTCAGCCCACTCTCTCCTCCCAGCTCCGCGCTCAGCCCACGCTCCCGCCCCCCCCCCCCCAGCTCCGCGCTCAGCCCACAGTCCCGGCTCCTCTCTGGGCCCCAGGTCTGTGTGTGGGTGTCGCTCCCTCCCTCCCTCTCTGCTCCCCGCGGACATGCTGCTCTCTCTGGTTGTCCACACGCGGTCCCTGCGGTACTGGCTGCCGGCGGCGGTGATGATGGGCACGGTCCCCGCGTACCTGCTGACCTGGGCGGCCTGGCGCCTCCTCTCCTGCCTCCTGCCCTCCCGCTACTACCACAGGATGGACGACCGTCTGTACGCCATCTACCAGAGCATGGTCCTCTTCTTCTTCGAGCACTACACGGGGGTCCAGGTGAGATCAGAGACCAGTCACTCACACTCACACAGAGACTTGGCCTTGATATCCCCCCCCCCCCCTCCCCCCCTGTGACCCAGTCTGGAACTCTCTCCCCTTCCCCCCCACTCCCACTCCCCCCCCACAAGTTTATGGTTTGACTGTTGTCACCCCACAGCCATTGACGTTTCACTTGAAAAATGTCCGCAGCCTCCCCTCCCCTTTATCGCAAGGCAATCGGAGGACTTGGGCGGTCACCGTGTCGGAAACTTCAGAGGTTTCCTCCAACCCCACCCCACCCCTTCCCCCTCTCCCCCTCCCCCTCTCCGCGCCCGTCTCGGTTTCCGTCCCCCCGCCCGCCCGCCCCCCCGCCCGCCTTTTCCTGCCCTATTATTGTTGTTGTTATCCTTCTCGAAGATGGTACATTGTGCCGGCGTACAGTTGCGACGGCTTGTGGGTGGGGCGCTGCTGCGCGCAATTGGCCGCCGCGTTTCACCCACAAAATATACAGACAATTCACTTTGCAGTATCTCCTGTGAAGCACTTTGAGACGCCTCAATGGAGTGATAAGGCGCTATATCAAAGGCAAGGAGTATTATTATTATTATTCCACAGCTCTCTTGATACCTTGTGTCCGAGTGACCATTTCTCAGGTGTGAGTCTTAATCAGTGAGTGCACAATGCCTAGGATCCACGTAACACCTACTTTTCTTACGGTGGTTACTGCAAACTTATCAGAATCAGCAACTCTGAATTATCTTATATCTTCCACCCAGCTTGGGGGTTGGGTGGGGGTTGCATTGGATCCACCCCGATTTGCCTTCCCAGACAAGTTTGGCAGTTCAACCAGTTTAGCAATGTGAACACTCCTTGATGCACACATGGTTTACTACCATTTGTGTCAGTTTGGTTTGGTACAATTGTTTTCATCTCTGGCCTTTTGTGTCAAAAGTTTGTGGGATTCAGTCCCATGTTGAGAACTTTGAGTTTGTTGACTTGGCTTTTGAGGAGTGCTCCAATGTTGGAGATGTTGCCATTCGGATGAGATTTTAAGGTGAGATCATGTCTGCCCATTCAACTGGATTTTAAAGAACCCATGACACTTTTCGAAAAGAGAAGGCATTTTCTCTCTGTGTCCTGACTAACAATACTCTTAACTCAGGTTGGTCCAACCCTTTGGTTGCTGGAGGCCACAATCCCAGATTTGAGGAACGTTCCAGGCCACATAAGCAATATTTTTATGTTTCCCTTCCAGAACTGCAACATAACAACAACATTTACACAGCGCCCCTTTCACGTCAGAAGGACACATTAAAGCACTCGATACTGCTGGCTGGGCATCCTAGCTGGGGGTGGGAGGGAAAAGATGACTGAAACTGCAGTCAAAGAGTTGGGTCTTGAGGTGCCTTGAGCGAATCGGAGGGATTGTGTTAATAGAGCTCCAGAGAGTGGGGGCAAAAGGGAAAAGACGAGTCAGTTCAGTCAACCTCGAGGCTCCAATATTGCAAACATATCTATCCCATCAATAAAACTCATTTATTGCCCTCCAGGGGTAATAATCCCTCCCCCAAAAATGTAGTCATTCAATCTACTGTTTGCAGGACACTGCCACGTTTCACCCAGAAAATACAGTCATTCCTCTTTACAGTGTATTCTGCGGTCGAGGAAAGCTCCGATCGTATATCCTGACAATGAAACACAAAACGCTGCTCTCTCTCTTTCTCAATTAGCCGTGCAGCTCATTATCTGACAGCGCGGACGGCCGCTCTCCTGGCTCACTGGGGTGAGCAATTGGCGTGGCTCACTGTCTGACAGCAGCCAGCAGTTGGTAGGACATGATTGATAAGGAGACCCACTTGCCTTCCTCTCAGCTCGAGATGGACACTCTGATACACTGCAGCAATTGCCCTGCACATTGAGCTGCTATAATCAGAGAATGGTTCGCCAGGGAGGGAGCGGGTGGCCTGAAGTTGCCAGTAGTTTGTGGCCAAGATCATCCCCTGGGCTGGGTGCGGCCCATGGGATGCCAGTTGGGCCACCCTGCTCCAACTAATTGATCATTCACCTCCTAGCTGTTTGTGAGACATTATTACATGTGAATTACCTGCTTCATTTGACTACACAGACCCTTACATTTTACGGAAAGGTATATTTAAACATTTCAACAATCGTAAATTACATTTGTATAGTGTATTTCACATCGGGAGGACGTCCCAAGGCACTGGATAGTCAGGGATTTGGACCTGAGGAGGGGTTTGGGATCAGGAGTGGTGGGAGGGTAGGGGGGTGACAGAAGTCGCGGTAAAAGAGTAGGGTCTTGAGACGTGCCTTGAAGGAAGCAAAGCAGGGAACAAGGAACTGTGGGATGGAGTTCCAAAGGTGGGGGAAAAGAGGCTGAAGGCCCGACCGCCAATGGTGGGGCAGGCCAGGTGGGGGACAAGGAGCAAGCCTCCGCCTGCTGAGTGGAGGGAGCGGACTGGTGAGGATTTTGAACTCTTATCATCTGGGGTAGTAAGAATGCTATCAATGCAATGATTATTATCATTCCATGGTTCACACGCTGCGTTAAAGAGTGGAGAAGAAGAATCCCTTTAAGAGCAGCTTTGTCTTAATTCTGAGGTTAGATGTAGTTTTGAACGTATTTGCTGGTATCTTATTAGTAATGTTACAAAATATGTTATTTTTTATCTGTTTTTCGTTCAGGCAATGGCTTTCACAGCACACCATGTCTAGTGCATGATGATGTTCAGCCAACAACGTTCATGTTTGAGATCTCATTACTCCAGGTTTATTTATAAATAAGCTGCAGTTGATTACCCGGAATTTCTGCCTCAATATTTTTCTCTCCTCCTTACTAAAAATTTCCTATAGTTCAAAGCTAAAATAACTCGAGGAAAAAAACAGCAAACCTTGAATTGGGCACTACATTTGGCATGAACAACCTTAGTTGAAGATTGCCTGTGTTTCCTACTTGTGATCTCATTCCAATGGCCTCTTGCTTGAAACTGCATATAAAGAAGAGTATGTGGTTCAGCTGTAATTGGCAGTCATAGTTGAATAGCCTGCTGGCACTCAGTGGCTGGCTGGCCTGTTGTGGGAAAAAGGACCAATTGTGTTAGATTACTGTAGGTTCCCACTGTCCATAAAGCAAGATGAGTTACTGACCTCGGGGTAGCAGGGATGAAATATAACATTTGGTAGTGATGTGGGTGGGAGCAAGTTTGCTTAGTGTATACTTTCCCATATTTTGTTCCCATAGTCGGTTTATTTGTGGTATCTAATCTATAACTTTTAATAACTATGGTACAATCTTATTACATTGAAATGGCTTATGGTGCTTCCCATTTGAAACTTGGATGAGGGAGCAACCTGGCCAAATGCAGAGAGAACTTCCCACCTTTTTCACAATAGTGCCACATTAAGCATCCGTGTGAGTCCTGTAGCTCAGTGGTTAGAGCACTCGCTTTGCAAGTGAGAGACCTGAGTTCAATTCCAGGCAGGGCGAAACCTTGGGCAAGTTTCCTTACTCCACACACCTAATAATAATCCCTCCAAAACCCAAAACAATAATAAAATGGTCATTTTCAATCTACGACTGTTTGTGGGACATTGCTGTGCGCAATTGGCTGCCGCGTTCGCCCACAAATATACAGTCAATTCACTTTACAGTGTGTTCTGTGAATCGCTTTGGAATGTCCTCCCGACGTGAAAAGCGCTATATCAAATGCAAGGATTATTATTATTATAATTATTGAGGTCTTTGGTTTAACATTAGACACCCCAGGGAATTAGGCAATGCTGTGTTGCATAATTTCACACATAATACATTCTTTTGAAGCTGGTGGTATGGTTCCATGGGCGACGTCGCTGTTCTTTATATCATAGGTGAGCAATGAGTGTAAGCAGGCTATTCAATTATATATATGTGTGTGTGTGTGGGAAGTGAATCGTATTTCATCCTATACAAATGCATCTTCCACAAATGTGCACATTTCTCCAGTGGTAGGAACACTAGTAGTTTGTTGCTCCCCACTCCTGCTCAACCCAGACAAACTGATGTTTGTTGTCTCAGTTCTGGTATAAATTATATGAGTGATTGAGAAGCATTGGTGCTCAGGTGGAATCTGGGAGTGAGTTGTGAGTTTTGACTGTAGCACTTGTGGATACATAATTGCATAATGAAATATTTAAGGATACAATAGATCCTCTGTTTAAACTTGAGCTCAGAAGTAAAGTGATCAGCCAGTTCGTATTTAATTACTTCAGACAGATCGAGATGAACATGTGCAGATGGACTACACAGTGGATGTAGATGTCTCAGCCAAATCAAAAGGAATTGGATATCGATTTGCAACGAAATTGATTGAGAAATGCAGCGTAGAATTTGCTTTACTCTAGCCTGTTGTCTTTTTCCAGTCGTGTCTTTTGCTGAGTTACTTCTTTGGTGAATCACTAAACGTATTTTAGGATACACCATCACTATCTGACAGTTCATCTGTTCATATGTTAACAGAATTTCAATGCAGACGGTGTTTCAATATAGCGCATCTGAACTACAAACAAGACGCATTTTATTTTTCTTTGTCCTTCATTCTTTTGAGCCTTGAAGGGTCCCACAGCATAGAGACTGTGCTTGTCAAAGTCACAAATGACGCCTTCTCTTTCTGTGATGAGGGCTCCCTCTGCCTCCTTGTCCTCCTGGATCTCTCTGACGAGGTCAACCACGCCATCCTCTCCATCGCCTCTCCTCTCTCATCCCCTCCTCATCTTGGCGATGTCATCCACAGACACAGGGTAAACTACCACATGTATGCGGTTGACACACAAATCTACTTCTCTTCCAGCTGCGACTCCGGGTCTGCCGATGTTCTCTCGGCTTGCCTGGCGGACATCAGGGCCTGGATGAGGAAAAACTTCCTACAACTAAATGTTTAGAAGACGGAAGCCATACTTATTGGCACCCATCAATGTATTCTATCCTGCGTCTCTGACCTCCTCAACCTCCCCAGCCTATCCTT